ATTAACTATAGATCCACCACATGATTTATAGATACCAGTAGAGATGGAGTTGGAAATGACTCACACTGGGAACTCCTACCGGACTCCTGTTGAGTAGCTAGACTGCCGCTAACTGTTCCAGGTTATGAAGAGACATGAAGATTCAGGATCAAGCACTATATTCCCAGAAATTCTGGAACTGTGTATATTCACTCTAAAATTTCACATTTTAGTCATTTCAAAATAGGGAGATTACTTGTATCAGATCATTTTTTTTCTTTTACCTCATCCTAAATAGTGTAGATTATGAAATTCTACCTCTCTCAGAGGGAGTATTCCAAATTTCCTAAGCACACTAGAATCAAATTACTTAAATTATGTCTATTTCATATTCTGAGTGCATGCATTTGCAATTAGCTATGTCAGGCATTTTTCTTTCATTTAATTTCATCATCATCAAGTAGTATTTATTAAGCACAAACCTGGCTAATTAATTTTCTAGAGAATAACAGGTATTCTTAAATCCATTCTATTTAAGAGATCTTAAATAATCTGACACATGATATTTTTTCCCTTAGCAAAAATTGCCTTTAAATTTTAATTTTTACTTTATTATTTGAAGGTTTCAGGAGGACATATTCTACTCCCAAAGTCTGTATATTCAAATAAAAAATGTCATTCAGAATTAATATAACAGATTCCATGAGATTTTTATTCTTACTACAGCAGACTAATATTCTATCTCAATTTTTTAAAAATATCACTCTTCTAGTTATTTTTTTTTCCTAAAAGTGATTTATTTTTAAGGTAGAAACTAAGAGAAATAGGCAGCTTAAGTTATTATAATCATTAGATGTAAAAATGCATTTTTTCTTAAAAATTCAGTTACTATAGTTCATGAAAAGCAAAGCAAAAGAAAGCCACTGATCTCAGAATTCAAAATGTTTAGCCAGTGAGGATGAGAATATTGAACGTCTTCAAACCTGTCGTCAAGACGTGTGTGCTTTAGTGGAGGAAAGGAAAAGCTAATTTTTATGTGGATTTGGGGAAAGGAGAGTATTCTTCTCAAGGTACTTTTTTTCTAACTGCAACAGAGACAATATTCCTTTTCATTTAACAATAATCACACCACCACATTCACTTTAAATTCCAATCACAGAACTGGAATTTTAGAAAAGCATCCTCAAGAACCTCATAATGCCACTCAGGTCTTGGTTCATAAGACATTAAACCCATAGACTTCTATCTAGTATTTTTGGGTTCTGGTAGCAATTACCCTGTACTTTCAGCGGCCAATGCCCAGTAAGAATGACAGAAACTAAAACGGAACTACAAACATGCAATGCCTGTTACTGTTTAAGCAAACTGGCATCAATACTCAGTCATATTTGGCTACTGAGGTCAATGGTCACTTTGTACTTTGAAAAGCAGAGCTCAAAATGATGCTTCAGAAGGGTCCACCAAGAACTCCGTGGGCTGAAGGGGTCTGAAATGGCAGATGTTGTGTCCTGACACAAGTGGGGAAGAGTTCTGGGATTTACTTCTTGATATGCAGAGTGGAATTTAAATATTAATGAGATTATGCATTTGGATAACTCTGAATAGCGTACAAATATTGTTCAGTTTGCCCCTCGAGTGAGAGAAATTCACTTCCAAGAGGGAATTCTAGAAGAACCAGGTGCTTTCATTTTCAAACAGAGATTCACATCTCCATTAGAAATAACTCAAATAAGAGAGGAAATGATAGAAAGCAGTAGCCCAAGAGGTAAATAAAAACAATACAAATAAATAAAAAGAGAAAAGAAAGAAAAAAGAGGCCCTTAATTATAGTCACAGTCACACAGTGGTTTGGGGCTTTTGCATTTGGCAAGAAGTAGCCTCTCTTTGTTTATACCAACGGAAGCCCCCAGGAGAATACAGCACAGAGAATCCACAGGAAGAATTTGGTCATACTTTTCAAAGTAGTTTAGTCTTCAAAAATCCACCTTCCCTAAAGGGAAAAACACCTTGAGAACCAATTAGTGGTACAAAGGGCCAGGAGAAAAAGATTGTGCTCTGGCAGAAAGATTATTTTGTTGATTTCAGGTAAAAACCTAGGGCCAGATGCTAAAGTGGATGTTCCCCATGCCTATCTCTCCTTTGCCCCAGGGACACTGCAGTCTGTTACGTTTGTATCTTCTCAAACAGGGACAGGAACAAAGTCTCAAAACAATTTTTGTAAGACATAATCCTGAATCACAGAACAGGTGGCAATTTTCTGAAGAGTAACAGTGGATTATTGCAACAGCAGCAGAAGAATAAAAAGATACGTTCTCTCTTTTTCTGGTTAATCAGATTTCTTGTGAGCAAAGCTTAGTCCTCTACCCTTTACTCTGCAAAAAGTAAACAAGACAAATGGATACTAAACATTCACAATAAGGCTAAATTCATGATTGATGCCTCTTACTGTTTAAGATCAGCTACAAATATGCTGTCCAGTGGTTTTTAGTGGTGTGATTGTCTGACTCAGCAGACCAGTGTCAGGAAAGAAATTTACATAAATGGGAAGTGAAATCTTTCTTCAAGAAACAAGACGGTTAGAAACTGCTTAGGTAAGGAGATGCTCACTTACACAAACATGGATATACATATTAAACCTACTCTCCAATATCTGCTTGAGCTTAAGTTATTGCCCATAAAGAAGCTAAGATGTTTGCTTTTAATTTCCAAAAAATCATTTCAGTTCCAATTTTACTTGGAATAAATTCTGCAAACAGAACTGCCCTTAGGTATAAGAAGAATAAAATCAATCTGGTATCCACAAGCATGACCAAGACTCATCCTTAAACACAGCACATGTTTAGATGTCTTGGCTAAGGGTGACAAGCATGATACCAGACAACTCCAGAGTAACAGCTCCTGATTTCTAGGAATATGAACGGATGAGATGAAGGAGGCTTCACTGCAGTGCAGTGGAGTGCAGGATCTGAAGTCAGACTGCCCGGGTTCAAATCTTAGTTTAAGCAATTCTTGGCTCTGTGACCACAGGAGAGGCACTAGGCTCTGTATCTGCAATTTCCCTATGATGGAACGGCATGATAATCATCCAGTGTAAAAATGAAGAATAAAATTAGAGAATCCACCTAAAGTACTTATCACTGCACCCAGCATACATTAAGTGCTAAGCACAATGAAGGTTAATCGCTGCTATTGTTATTACTACTATTTTCCTTTTGCTCCTGGTTCTGTGCATCTGAGCCAGATGGGAGAGTTTGACAGACTGAACCACTGGCCCCAACTCTTCAGCTTTCTCTGGACTCACACCTTTGCCACAGCCTCATCAGGGGTGGACTGTGTTTCTCCAGGCCTTGACCTTGGACTCACCCACATGCCTGCTTTGGTCAGAGGTGCCCATGCACACGTGCATGTGTATGTTGTGTGAGCGGATCAGTGCCTAGGATTTAAGAGGCTTCACTCTTTGCTGCTGGCCCTCTGCCACCTCAGGGCATGAGAAGAACATGGTCCAGCTAGCACGCTGGTCCTGGGTAGGTGAGGTACACGGAGGACATTCAGACCTGCAGACGTATGGTGTGACAAGAGACACAGCAGCCTGAACCACAGCCCCTTTGGTTGTCCTGCAGAGCCATGAGGGGCGTAAAGGCTTACTGATGTATGTTACTGAAATCTTGTCATTATTTATTATGCAAAAAAAAATTAACTGATCCAAGGAGTACATTAAAAAGTTGTCTACCCACAATGAATTTCTTATTTCCCAAGGAAAAAAGGCATTAGCTCAGTGCCTAGGTCTGAAACAAATGTGGAATTATAAGTGAGAAGAGACAAAGGGTTCAACAAAGCCAGGATTCCAGGACCAGAGATGCTCCTGTAAACTCTACTTAGGCCTTCTTGGCTTTTGTTTAGGGAGGGTCACGTGTGATTAACAACAGATTATTTTTAAATGGCTAACATTTGTTGAAAGGTTCCCATAGGCACCGTGCTAGACAATATGCATACGGTATCTCTCTTAGTCCTCCTAAGAGCACTAGGAGGTAGGCTCTATTAATTTTACTCATTTTACAAATGAGGAAACTGAGGCATACGGAGACAAGTAACTTCTCCACATTGACAGCGGGTGAGAGTAGTCTGGGCAGGATGCAAACTCAAGAAGCCTCATGGCATGGCATGAAATGATGATGGTGGGGAGGAGAGCTGGCAATAAGCACAAACATGGTTTCCCTCCCTCTCTAATCACTTTGCTGTTTTAATCACAGTGTGTGTGTTAATTTAATCCTTAGGACACTTGAATTAGGTGTTATCTATTATGCACCCTCCAGAGATGAAGAAAGGGGAGCACTGCAGGTCAAGTTCCTAGCCCACTTTCCCATGTGGCTAGCAATGGTGTGCTAGTTGGAGCACAAGGAGATGAAGCTGGATCTGAACCCAGGCAACCTAGTTAACCATTACACTATGTTAAGAGCAATGATCACACTTCTCACCCCAATGTGAAAAGGCAGAATCACGTTCTTTCCTTTTTTTTCTGGAAATCTGTAAGCTTTTCCAAGTTCAAAGGCAAACATGCATTCCTGGCACCATGGCTATCTTCAAGTGCATATAATGTGATAAATAACCTTTAATTTACACTACAATCATTCTCAGGCTGCACTGAGCTTTCATTCTTGCAAAAGCAATTTCCTTATTTGCTGCCTTCATGTTGACTTGTTTTTAGTTTTGTTTTTCTGAATGTATTTTTAGGTTCAACTCTGTCAGGTTACAAATTCAGAGGAATCCTAACAGAGTGATAAAAGGAATGGGAGAAAGAGTATTAATCATGATGGGTTTAGAGAACAACGTCTAGAAAATAAAACTAACCACACAGAGTGTGAACACAGATGATTGCTGCCCAGATCTGTTCACACATACACATCCTGCACCTGCAGGAGAGCCTTGTGGTCTCAAGTCTTCAGACACTCTCTCCACCCAGTTCCCAAACAGCCACATCTCAAGCACCTTCACACTGACATACAAACAGCAGTCCTACTGACCTTGAAAGCAGCACCTCCATGGATGATGGATTTGATAAAAATTCCCAAGTCCGTTCCAGTTTCTCGAGATTTGTTCCCTTTCAAGCTCACGCCAAGACCAGCAGAACCTGAATCATTCAGGGGGATCTCGAAGGTGAGTTGCTCAGTTGTTTCCAGTGAGAGTGCATAGCAATCAGGTTCTCCTTTCTGTTGAAGTATACATGGAAAGAGTGAAGGGAAGAAAGCAGATTAGTGTTTACACCCAAATGGCCAAACACAGAGGCAACTGGCAAGACAGTTTGATTGGACCTCTAACAGGCTGGTCTTCTCTCTCTACAAGGGGCCACCACCATGTCCATGGGTGGTGGAAGAGTTCTTGGGAGTCATATTTCCTGATGGTCAACAGAGAGGATCCTTTGGCTAGGTGGAGTCATGCCATTTGAAACATCCTGAAAATATTTGGAAATTCTGCAGAATAGTCCCAATAATTAAAAAGGCTGGATATTACTTAGGGGATCTTAAGTACCAGAAAAGACCTTAGAGATAAGGTGATCTTAATATCTTCATTATACAGATGAAGAAACAGCTTAGTGTAGAAACATGCTAAAATTTTGGGGAAATATTTGGCTTGTATAATTTAAAACACATTATTTACCATGGAAAAAATGTTCTTGATCAAGAATGTCAATTGGATAGAGAGAACTGAAAAAAATGTTATCTTAAACTTAGGGAAATGTGATTTATAATGAGAATCACTGAATTAAACTTCACTTTGTCCAACTCATGCCTTAAGTTTGCTTCTTTGAGAGTATAACTCACTGGCAATCAGATTTTGAACCTAAACAAAAATGATAATGCACGACAAACATTTGTGTCCATCTAGCCACAACCACAGCTGTTCTCAAAAAAATAGAGTAACAGTGTATGGAGGCAACAGGCACACTAAGGGTTCAAGTTTCCAGGGAGAAGCATAAGGTTAATCATACTTGGCCCCTGATGTTTTCAAATATACAGCAGCGACTACAGAAAAGTGCTGTCCATATGATAATCTTTGCAGGTGTCCCTACTGCATCCCTCCCAAGCTCGCAGAAACGTGAAACTCGGCCACAGTGTTTAACTGGAAAATTTGAAAATGAGATAGCCCTAGAAACCTTCAAATCATTCTAGGTCGGTAGTTCTTTCCTCTCTGTAATTATGTCTAGAAACTCTCATCTTAGGTCACTTCTATAAAATTGCGTATTTTAAAAATGACTGTGAATGTCTGAATATCAGTCACCAAATAACAACTATAAAACGAGAAGTCGCCAAGAACCCATAATTAAAACAGGATTAAGAGGCTGATCATTGCCAGACCCACTGACCTAGTATTTTCAACTCCTACCAAAATAGAGAAAGCCCATGTCTACCTTTAAAGAAATAGTTCCTTCATTTAATTTCACTGTAAATGAAGTTAGCTATAAAAATTTGGACAACAGGTGGTTTCAAAGAAATGAAACTTTACTGCTTGATTTAATAAACCCATTACTAGTTAGTTCTTTTAACAAACTCATTATATTATTATCTAAGAAGCATCCCATTATTTGATTCAAACTAGCTGTCCTTTTTTCCCCTCCATGGGAATGCCATAGTTAAATATGAAAAGTAAATTGTTAGCCTTCATCTTTGTCTTCTAGAATGTCCTATTTAGAACAATTTGATAATCATTTATGCTTCCCGGTCTCTCTGGGGTTTGCTTAATTTTAGTCTAATAAAGTTCCACTGAATTAAAGTACAAATTAAAGAACAGCTGTTCTTCCTAGAGGTTTGTGAACACCATTTTAGAGGAAGACTAGAAGCTTCTTTGGCTTTTTATCTACTAGAGACAAAATGACACAAGGCTAAGTTTTGCTTGAGTAATGTTTTCAAACCACTTTATTCTGTGATCAAATATGATTTCTTTGGCAACTGTGTTTAATTAAGATTGACAATCACTATTTGTACCAACACCTTTCATTTATTACATATGTGGTAAAAACAAAATAGAAACCAAGTGATTTATGGCTATCTTTTCATTTGTGCGTATGTCTTATTTCATTTTTTTGTTTTTATTTTAATTCCAGTTAGTTAACATACAGTGTTATATTAGTTTCAGGTGTATGATATAGTGATTCAATACTTCCATACATCACCTTGTGCTCATCACAAGTGCCCTTCTTAATCCCCTTCACCTATTTAACCCATCCCCGCACCGACCTCTCCTCTGGTAACCATCAGTTTGTTCTCTATAGTTAAGAGTCTGTTTCTTGGTTTGTCCCTTTCTCTCTTTCTTTTTCCCTTTGTTCATTTGTTTTCTTAAATTCCACATCTGAGTGAAATCATATGATATTTGTCTTTCTCTGACTTATTTCACTTAGCATAATACTCTCTAGCTCCATTCACATTGTCGCAAATGGCAAGATTTCATTCTTTTTGTGGCTGAGAAATATTCCATTGTACACATATGCCATATTTTCTTTATCCTTTCATCAGTTGATGGACACTTGGGCTGTTTCCATAATTTGGCTACTGTAGATAAAGCTGCTATAAACATCAGGGTGCATGTATCCCTTTGAATTAGTATTTTCGAATTCTTGGGTAAATACCTGGTAGCGCAGTTACTAGATCATAGGGTAGTTCTATTTTTAACTTTTTGAAGAAACTCCATACTGTTTTCCAGAGTAGCTGCACCAGTTTGCATTCCCATCAACAGGCAAGAGGGTTCCCCTTTTAAGTCCCTGATACCTGACAGCCAGAAATAGAACAACAAAAACAATCTAGTGGCTAACAATGGTTCTAAGTGCTTTACACATATTAACATACTTACTCTTCATAACAACCCTATGAGGAATACTATCATGCCCATTTTACAGATGAGGAGACTGAAATGCACAGCAGGTAAGTACCATGATTACATTCCATGAGACTTGACAGTGTTGGGGCTTTGTGAGGTCAAGGCAGTGTGGTTCCTGTGTCAGACTCTTAACTGCTATGCTATGTCTCATCCTCTGTGAACCACTATGACTTGGCCTACTCACAAGAAATCCCAAGACTGATTCCCACAACAACAGTGAGACACAATGCAATTTCACGTACTCTACTCAACTATAGTTCTGTTTTATATCTTTCTGACACTATATCAGGCTCAAGGCATAATTAGTGGCATTATCATTGCTATTCACCCAATGGTGAAGGAAGCCATTATAGTAGTTAACATAGCCATTTCCTCTATTAGAAATAAATGTCCCTTTACCTAATATACAAAAAAATCAATATGCTGAATGTCTTCCTTCAATAATCTTGCTTCAACAAAGAACTCTAAAAATTAAACTCAAATCTTGCCAGACAACATTTTGGAGAAGAGGAATTAAGGCCTCACAAATGCCCCAAATGCAGGACCTTAGTGATAGGATGATCCCAAAGGCAATGACATACCCACATATCCACACTTTGGATCCTCCCCTGCTTCCTATCTTTCAGACAAGAGCTCTTTCTACAATACCCCTTGCTTTTTACACTCACAATTATCCAGAGGGGAAAAAAATCGAGATGCTGGCATAAGAAAGGAAATCTTGTGAATTTCATTCATTTTTTTTTTTTCTTTTCATTATTTCTTATTCTTTGCCACTGGAGGCCATGTCTCTCGATACAAAGTCTGTGAGGTTCCTTGAGCCAGGCCCAAGATGGATGCCAAAGTGCCCCTAGCGCATATGTCTTGGCCTAATGCCCTGGTACCCACCCAGGGCCAGCCTTTCAGGGTCCACAACTAAAGCTTTCTCAATCTCAGCAGTACTGAATTTTGGGGCCTGATAATTCTTTGTTGTGGAAGGCTGTCCTATGCATTAAAGGACAGTCAGCAGAATCTGTGGCTATTACCTACTAGATGCCAATAGTACCTCCTTCCCCAGTTATGATAACCCCAAATGCCTTCAGACACTGCCAAATGTCTCCTGGGCTCAAAATCACTTCCAGCTGAAAACCACTGCCCTGTACAGTCAACTTTAACTGCCAAGTACTGTCAAGTTTAAGGCAACTGCCAAGTATGGTCAAGTTTAAGGCAAGTAGGGTCCAGAGAAGTATTTGGGATTTCAGTGTTGCCTGCTGATATGTTCCCAAGTACCAGAAAGGGACTAAGTCTCAGGCTACAGGTTTGTGACTGACCACTTAGTTGGTCACGGATTTCTGCACTTAGTTATGTCTCTGATTGTATGTCTCTCATTATATGGCAGCTAATTTTCTAGGGGAAGAAATACGGTCTTTGGGGGATTAACAGAGTAAGGAAAGTGTTAAATACTGAATTTATTGGTACATACAGAAAATGCTGACTTTTATTAATATAACGCAGAAAAAAAATTTAGCCTATCAAGTGGTGTTTGTTAGGTTAGTTATGCTTCTGTATATGCTGATTTGTACTTTTCTTATTTATTAAGAATCATAGACTTCTATAAAATAGTATTAACATAAAGACTTCTACTCATGTGAGAACATAACATTAAGTATAATAATGTATGTGTACAGTACATTTCAACTATATAACATATACACTATCTACACACTGACACCTACCCATCTACCTATTACCTACCTGCCTCACAACCCTGCCCCATCTCTCTGCATATGTGTATATATCTGCATAGAAAAAAAAGGTAGTTATCCACTGGCACTGCAATATGGACCACAGTTTCCTTCTTTATAATTTTTCTGTGTTTTCTAGACATTTATCCATCATTATAAAAAGATAAATGTTTTTGAAAGGAATTTATGAAGGTATAAGAACCATTTGCTATATTATTGCACGGCCAACTAGAAAGATGTAAACACATCTCTATAATGACACACACGCATGTTTACACATACGCATTTTCTAATACTACCTATACTATATGTAATATGTATTACCCTGCAGTAGTATATATACTATATGCATTCTTTAAAACTACATAATATATAATGTGTATGTTCATTCTCTCTATACATATATATGCAGGTGTGTTTATGTGTGCATGTATGTGTGTAGTACATTTATATCCCTCTTAGATTGCCAATGACTTCCATGTTACTAAATCTGATGGTCAATTGTCATCTTTTATCTTTCCTGATCTACAGGAGCATTAGACCAAATTGATGAAGCTCTACTTTTTGAAATATTTTCTTTTCTTGGTCCCAGGACATCACTTTCTTATAGTTCATCT